TCTTCCTCTGCATGCGCGGCATCTAGGAAACTGATCGCTGCACTTGAAACATGAGTTACAGTCATGGTCAAAGCAGTCTTCGCAGACTGACTTGCCGCAGCTTCGGCATGGATAGCGAGGTTCCCGATGCTGTGGATGCCCGGTTATCAGGGGCAGCGCCGGCAGCCCGAGCAATGGCCCTCGTTCTAGAGGGATCCCTGCCGAAGATGGGGGCTGATGGTGATGGTGGGGGTGGCCCCGAAGGAGGTGGAGGTGGAGGAGGCCTCGCCGAGCTGACGGTGCGAGCATCACGAGGAGGAGAACCTCTAGGAGCCCTTCCCTGGGTTAAGGGATCTGTGTCTCCAGATTTCTCCCATGATCCCGTTCCGGCGGTCGAACCAGCGCCAGCACTTGAGGATCCGCAGGCAGCAAGAGGTTGCTCCCTCAATTCAGCGATCTGCATGTTGATCTCATTGACCCTCAGCACAAGCTTCATAAACTGCTCTTGCATGTCCCTCGGATTGGGGCCTAAGCTTTTGTCATGAAGGTCCTTGACACATCTAGCAATGCGGGACAATTGAAGCTTGAATTCTTCCTGTTTCTGTGAGTTCTCATTGAGGGCTCCGGATACCTTATCACTGAACTGCTTCAGGTCGGTCGCAGGAACGAGATGCTGGATATACGTCTCGACGTTCCCACGGATGGTTCTTTCTCTTGAGATGGTTCCCTCAATGTCGATGACACTGCGAGAGTTCGCCTCAACTTCGTCTTTGATTTTCCGAACCTCAGCCTCAAGGGCCCCGATCTCAGAAAACCTAAGAAGCTGGACCTTGACGTTCTCAAGTGATTCGGCCTGCTCGCGAAGTTCAGCAGCGGATATGACGATCGAGTCAGATCTCTCATCATACATCTTGAAACGCTCATTCATCTCCTTCTCGCTTCGGGCGACCCACTCGTGGAAATCACGGAACTTAGCCTCGTGTTTTGAGAGAGTTCCGGCAACGGCAGAGAAAGATGATTCAACCTTCTTCTCGAAGGCGTCAACACGGTTATTGATCTTCTTGATCTCACCGACGCAAGCGTTGATATCATCCCTACATGAACGAATCTCAGCTCTGCATCCCTGGATTTCGGCCTTGCACCCCTTGACCTCGTTGTGGATCGCGAGAAGCAGTCGTTGAAGCTCAGATGCAACAGGATGGCCGCCACTTGTGGAAGCAGACGGAGCAGGACGACTATCAGCGTCATGATCTCCGCGACTATTCTCTTCCCTGTCGGGAGTGCAGCCCGGAGTTCCGATTTGAAAGAATGCGGGGACAACGGAGTCGTTGACCGGTTGATTCGAAGGAAGCCCTCCATATCCAGGGGCAACAGTGCTAAGACCAGGTCTCCGATTCCTAGGCGTAGAGTTAATCCCGTCATCAGTCTCCTTCTCAGACATCGGGGCATTGGAGCTGAGCCCAGACCCCGCAGAGTGTATAGGAACGTCAATAGGATCGTGATGAGCTGGGGGATTAGATCGCAGTCGTAGAGCAGCTTCACGTCTCTCGGGTGACTCAGAGCTCCTCTTTGTGGCTCGTGAGTCAGTGCCGGTTTGTCCCGACACATTATCAAATGATGATGATCCGCGAAGTTGAGCTTGATCTGGATTAGGTTGAGTGAGATCAAGCCGTTGAGCAACGTCACCATTGAGTGGCTTAGGGGAAAGTACTTTGGCAACGCGGCTCGGCGGGAGCGATGTAGTTCGTCTCTCTGGTGTGACCTCGGCCTCATCGATTACATCAAGGATCCCAGGAATGGTTTCATCATCTTCATTTCCTCTCCTGGGTGGCTGATGGAAGGGGATGTCGAGGAGGTCAAATGGAGTAGAGCCAATACCAGGTGTATCCTGCTCGGATCCATCGCTGGTACGGTGGCTGGACTGCTCCTCGAGGTCGATGACGTCGGGGGCGGACTCTTTTCGAGTCTGACGCCGATTGAACGCCGCGAAGAGACCGGCATGGCTTCTTGACGAAGAGGAGGAAGGATTTGGGCCTGCTGTTTCGCGGCCCGCATCCGATCGACTAGTACCTGATGTCCGATTTGGCGGATTTGAGCCCGCGTTGTAGCGGTTCGCATCCCGACCTCGGGTACCTGAGGAAAGCGGTGGATTCGGACCAGCGTTGTAGCGGTCCGCATTCCGGTCACGGGTACCTGACAGGTGAGATGATACTGCATCAGAGATGAAGTCCATATCCGCCGGACTGGGGTGATCGTGAATGATGTCAATGTCGGATGAACCTGAGACGGGAGGAGGGCCAGCTATTTGCGGCCAATCCTCAATCGCCCGTTTGCCCACCTCGGGTTGGGTCGAACCTGCAACATGAGAAGGGGAGAAATCTTCAATGGGGTCATTTTCTCCATCATGAGGAAAACCCTGAGTAGGCTCATGCGTAGGCAGGGCATCAAAAGATCTGTCAATTCGGGAAGGCTGAGACCTCCAATCAGCATCAAAAAGGGATTGAAAATCCAGATTCCCAACCGAAACGGGGGCACCCGAGTTAAAGTCGAGCCGACCGAAATCAGGCGGTGTAGCCTGCGATCCACTGCCGAGGAGTTGGTCAAACTGATCCCATGTAAGGGACCATGATTGAGCCGGCTCCGGATGAGCAGCATGATGGACAGCCCGGTCCTCGATCTGGAGCGCCACGAACGGAACAGTAGGCGAAATCGATGAGGGCACCTGATTTGGAGGAACCTCAGCCTCTTCTAGAGGGGGTCCGTCCTCGATCTGGAGCACTGCCGCCGGGATAGGGGCCTCCGCATCCTCATCAAACACAACCTGAGAAAGGATCCAATCGTCCGTGATCACCCCGGGATTGGGTTCTGCGCCCAGCATCGGGGGAATGGGCCACAGCCGGCTGTCTAAGCCGGGGGCAGCAGGCGCGGCGTTGCCGCGAAGGGCGTTGGCCTCGTCGTCCACGAAGCCCGGCCCACGATGAGAAGCTCCGGGGGACGCCATTGCTCGTACAAGTAGGCGATGGGAGCAGGTAGCGGGTCACGTCCCGCAACCGGATCACCAGCCCCAGCTTCTAGCTGGTACGGCTGATAACCTGCGGTTTTGGGCGAACACGAAGTAGCCCAGGGAATCAAAGAGGTACACGTGGTTCACGAAGTACCAAAAGAACCCAGTCCCAAAGCACAATGTAGAAGGTGCCGGTGACCAGATTGTGGGAGTGACAGTTAATGAAGATCAAGTTTGGGGAGATTAGGAAATAGGTTGAAGAAGAGAAGTTTGTGTCCAAGCCCAGGATGATCACGCAGAGAACCTCCGCCCACCTCCCAGTGCCTAACCACAGCGACGCCAGGACCCTTTTCCCGACGGCGTAGCGGTCAGCCGCACTATGGCTGGCGCAACGAGATTCCGTGACCCCCCTGACGGGAGGGCAAAACTTGAGCCAAACGGCCATTCGGCCGTTTTGCCACATGATGAAACAACACGTGAACAAAACACAACATTAAACTGTTCACGTTCAATATATGATTTAATGTATTCTTTTACATCAAACCCTTCTCTTCTGCGATTTACTAACATAATCAATCATTTCATACTCGTTCTTACTGATTTTAAGAAACTGTTTAACACAATCATGAGGTGGGATATCGTAAACAACAAGACATATTAAGATGTCATCTTCAACATGTCTACTATTTCTTCTTTTAATGTTCAAATGACATTTGATTAATTCTTGATAAAACCTCCAATGTCTACAAATTCTACATAAATCTTCTTCACCCAACCCATAGTCGATAATACTATGTATTATTCCACTAGGTAAATTCAATTTATACAATTCCATATTTTCTTTCTCGAAGTGGCAACAGTCGCAGCATTTCTTATTAATATACTTATTGATTTCAATACCGTTCATTTCTTCACTATTAATATAACAAATAGACCTGTGATATTGACCTGTGAGTGCCCCGCAATCCCCAATGCAATATATGCATAGACGAGGTGAGAAAAATGTGGCGGAGTGAGATTGTGCAGGGTTCAAAGCGGACCTGGGCGAATTCGAGCACCCCAATGTTTTTTGCAACTGTGTCACTCCCCATATGAAAGGATGTCATCTACGAAAACCGAACGTCTAGGAATCACCGCGTGGTACGTGCCCCCCTTCAAGTGTGTGCTTTTACAGCCATTGTGCATCCTTACCAGCCTCAGCGCAGCATCGCCAGCATTATCATCATCACTGCTATTATTTGTCCAAGATGCTCAGCTATTAGAATGTTTAGATGTTAACGTGCTAAAATCCTAATGGCAAGCTAGAGCGGCTCTGAATATCTGAGTGGCTTACAATCTTAAAGCCTTAGTGGCGTGCTTTGATAACATCTTTCTGGCTGGCAATCTTGAAATCTAAATGGCCTGAAAATCCTAATGGATTAAACTCCGAAAATCTGGATGGCTTACAGTCTTAAAACCGTAGCGCCGTAGTGGCCTAAAGGTCCACTTCTAAATGGATTAAACTCTGAAAAATCTACAATCTTCAAATCTTTCTGGCTTAACGTGTCAAAAGATTCGTGGCATAAAGTCTTAACATCTCAATGGAATAGATTTAAATGTTGCCCAAGTACAAAGGCGATCTGAATATGGGTGCTCATTGAGGCTGTCGGGTCAGAACCGATGCCCGGGCGGCCCCCAGCGAATGAGAGACTGGCAAAGCCGGGCTCACCAGTACCCTAAACAGCCTGCATGTGCCAGCACTGCACCCTGCAAACAGTACTCAAATATGTTTTTTACTTAAAATTGGAACCCATATGACTTGCAGCTATCTGAAGAAATGAATCTGCCTCAATTGACCCCAAGCACCTAAACTCCCCCCGGAAGGCAACATACTGACCCGAACAGTGACAAAGGACCAAAACCCGAGCATGCAAAAGCACAGACAAGAAGGCACAAGCTGCACGCCTGCACAAAATGGCACGAATGCGGCATATGGCCACACAAAGTGAACGCCAAAACATTCGAAGCCCAATGTGGCCTTCTCGTAGCGCTTCCGGGTGTAGCTGCCGCCATTGCAGCTGCGGCTGCAGGTGGTCCAGGGCTCCCAAGTGGTCCACCTGTGCTTGTGTCACGATTTCCCGACCGGTTCGCTGTTGACTCTGGGGCCCAAGCTGGCAGTCAACCGGACAAATGCCCACATCGCAGGATTTGGTCTCGTTGAGCTTCGGATCGCAGTCCTGCCGCAAAACACAAGGCCTTTCCCCCCACCCCACCAACCCAGGAATCGAGGCCTTGCCACCGTTGGCCGGTCCCGTTCGGATGCCACGCAAGCGGTTTTGGGATCCTGAACCAAATCTCGCAGAACTGAGAGGTGCAGAAAAGTGGGGCCCACCTTGCCCACATGTAACGGAGCAAAGGCTCCAAGATGTCCAATCCTTGCCAAAGGATCATATCACCCCCACACACAAACACTCGTGTGGAACCCCCTGTTCTGAGGTCCCGGCACCCATTACGCAGTCCACTGGACATGCCTCTCTTGTACAAACCTGAGGCAAGACGGGTGTGTCTCTCGCGCCACATGTTCAAAGCATCAAATGCATCAAATGCATCGAATGCATATCACTCGCTCTGTCAGTATGTTCTCCTGTTCGTCATCTTCCGTGCCCCAACATACATGGCCACCATCCCTGAGTTGCGAGCAGCTCAGCTTGCTGGGAAAACTGAGCATGTTGAAAGAACTGGGCGCTGCGCTTCTCGTATTTCTTCCTTTGGCGCGTCCTTCGTGACACCTGTTGAACAGACCAAAACCTTGTTTGTTTTTGCTTTCGCCTCCTGCGACATACAGCTACAGGCTGAGCGGCCCCAGAGCCGCAGGTCGCAGAGCAGCTCTCCCAGTCAGTCCAAACCTCGGTGCCGCGTCACCTCTTGCTTGACTCACACGTGTCATTGCTATCCAGGGCCAAAGACTTAGGCCCACGCGTCCCACTCGCAGTCAGTCGGGCAAACTGGCAAGTTCTCGCAGCTTCGCGTGTCCGAGGCAAAGCCCTACCAGGCACACAGGCACAGAGTCATGCACACGTACAGCGTGATGCAATCTGCACGAATGAAAAAGGGGCAGTTAGGCAATTGCCCTGTCATTCGCACATGGCACCTGGCAGACGTCTCCCTGGTACTGAGGCTGGACCGCAATCGCTCGCGTCCTGGCCTGCTGGCCTCGGACATCTGGACATCTGGATTGGGGGATGTGCCAAACGCGGCATTGGCCCCCCGCCACTACCGCAAGAGCTGGTGCATTCTCCCCAGTCAATCCAATCCTGAAACTCCATGGAGGCAGAAGGTGGATGAGAAAAGACCAAGGCAGGCACCGTCCACTGACAATGAATCGGACAGCTCTTGGCAAAACAACCTCAGGGCTGCTTGGCTGGCCAGATGCGTTTTCCAAGCTGGCTTCCGGCTTCTGGATAGCGCTGATTCCCCCGTGCAAGGAACACCACCGTAGTCGGCTTGCACCTTGGCAGCTCGATCTCTTTCCACTGCCAACTGCATCTTGATCATTCAGAAATTCAAGCTCGTATCCCTTAGGCCCTTCATCCCTACATGTTGCCTACGGTCACTCTTTCCTCTGCACTCAGGGAATGGGATTGAAGCACGCAGAAGTCATTGCACAGTCCCAAATTTTCCGCGCAAGTAATCTGGAAGTCGGCGTTGCAAACAGTGGGGATGAGAATAAAGGCATTGTGGCTGGCAAATCGCAAGCGCTTTAGGAGCGTTTCTGTGGAACATCGAGGGGGGGTCGGGGGGGTAGTGGGATTCCCGCTGGTCGCGTGCGCATCACACTACAGTGACCGAAACCAACACCATGACCTACGCTGCCACCGTGCAAGTTGGCACTTGCCAAAGACATAATTGTTCATGCGCACAGTACATGTTTGTGCTGTACCAGCGTTCGTGCAGCAAACTTGCCCGCGTTGCCTCAACATGTACGCTACAGGATAAGGGGCATGGGGGCAGCTGGATGGGGCTTGGCCTGTTTTCGAGCCGGCTGCTGCGCGCATCATGGATGGGAGCACCAGGCCAGCTTGATCTTTCATACGAAACGCGGCAAACCCCAGCATGTTGCAACAGGCATTCAGAGGCGGTTGCCTGATTCTATCCCCTGAGTGGAATAGTTGGCAAATCTTGCAACGTGGCAACGAATGCAACGGCAACAAGATTACCGCCAATACAACTATGCCTCGCAAATACAACACATGCTGCAAAGCCGTTTAGGTGTGTAAATAACTCTTGCCGCCAGAAGTCATCGGCCAGCTTGACATCTTCATTCGCATGCCTAAGACCCACGCCGTGACGCGCCGGGCTTTGCTCTCCGTACCGTTGCCACAGCTCGTGCTGCAAGAAGTCCAGTCCGCCCATTCCTAAGTCGATCGAAGCGTAAAGCCATAGGGCGAGGCGCGAGGCGAAGCCGCAAAGCCAATGAGAAGCCAATGAAAAGCCAATGAGAAGCCAAAGCCAAGCTGTTTTTCCAAACCTACTGAGTTCCTTGCTGACCACCTCAACAGCACAGAATGAAGCTCAACCATAGCTCGGTCTGCTGAAGTCCCGACTCACAGTGGATGGGGCAGAAGCGGAGATTGCACTCCCTGTCTTGAGAGTAGCCACCCTCGCAATCCTTGCGCGGAGCATCTGTATTAATCTACCGCTCTTTGATGTGTTCAAGCCTTTCCGCCGTGCAGCATGGGTGTTTTCACCTTGGGACTTTTTCGCGGACGTCAGTCTCCTTCGCTCTTGCTGGCGTTTGCTTTCCGCAGAAGCTTTATAAAAACCTCTTCTTGCACGTGCGCTTGGTTTAAGTTTAAAGTGCACTACTGCTTCGGACTTGAACGAACACAAAGAAAGACAGGCGCAATGACCCGCATATTTACAGACACACACTATTTTGGACATGGAGTGCTGGAGCGATCCGCAATGCGCGCGGGGACAGCGATTGGTGGGTTAGGCTTCGGGTGGGATTGAGGCAATTTTGATAAAGGCTTGGTTTCGGGGGTTGCGCAGTTGCAGGGATGGTGTTATGAGTTGGTCAGCATCGGATTCAGATTGGTTTGTGTTGGCTTTGGAGGCTGGTTGCCGTGGTTTGGAGAGGCAACTCTAAGCCCCCGCGCGTCCCTCATGCGAACGCCAGTGCCTGGCGATCGGATGTGAAAAAAAGTGTCGGATGGGAGGAGCTTTGCGCTTTGCGCTCGCTCCTGGTCCGCAGGAAGTGGAACACCCGCGCCAGTCCTGCCAGTCCTCACTCGATGCATATGCACGCGTGTCGCGTACTGCCCCTGCCCCTGGGGCCCAGTCATTCCACTCGCAGTCTACAGGGCAGGTCTCCACACTGCAGTACTTCCTCTCGTAGGTCCTTTCCGCCCCCGGGGCGTGTGAAGCCAAGCAAGCGAACCGGCTGGGGCAGCTGCAAGTTGCCACCGTTGGCATGGCACTCTCGGCCACCAAAGGTGGCTGCTGTCTGCACAAGTGAACTGTCCCAGCCCAGAGCCGGTGACACCGCATGCCATTTTCACTCATTTCTCGCAGACATGTCCCACGCCTTGACGTTGCGCAAACGCTCCGCAATCCCCCGGCCGCAAGAAACACCTAGGCAAAGACAGCAGCAAAACGGAAATGGTTCACCATTTGGAGCGGCTCAGCAGAGCACTACAGTCGGACCAAGTGGTCCAATCTGACAGCTTGCAGTCGGTTGGGCATTGGTGCAAGCTGCAAGCGCTCGTCTGTGTATGTGACCTGCAGCAAATAGAAGGAAAGCTGAACGTCGGGGTCGCTGAGGATACCACGTCTGGTTCGGAGGGCAAGGCTTTCCAAGCTCGTTCCCTGCTTCCTGGGCGTTTGGAAGTTTGGCATTCTCATCTTTCTCATCTTTCTCATCTTGGTGATTCTGAGCAGGGAGCCGCAACAGTTCGAAAGCGCTTGCCTGTGCCAATAGCACTCAAGCTGGCATACTGTATGCCTCGCTTTAGCGCGTGAACTGCAATGCCCTGAAGGTCAAACTGTCGCAAGCTCCCTCAAAGAAAGGAAGGTTACGCATGACAAACATGAAGGGGTTGCGTTCGCCCGGCTCTGCATCTGTCTTACATGAGCGGTCGCAGGCACTCCACTCACCTGATCGTCAAGTCACAAGGGAGTGGCTGAAGTGTGTGAGGCAACGACTCCAGTCACTGAGTTCGCAGTCTACCGGACAAAGCCCATTGTCGCAGGTCTTGTTCTCCGAAAGTGTCTCACAGGGCAGACCTGATAGGCACGTGGGCAAGGACCTTTCTTTTCTCGGGCCCGCAAGGCTGGCACCGCCATAGCCAGAGTGCACCTAGCCGCTTAGCCGCCTCTTTACGCTGACTAGTCACGAGTCGGCCTTGACTAGTCGCGTTCGCTTCGTGGAGCCAGGTCCACAGGTCACATCGCAGAAATCCCAGAGACCCCAGTCCTGAGCAAATCTGAAATCTGACCGAGAGTCAAGACCGAGACAAGTCTGCGAGATTCTGCGCGGTCCGTGAGGATGCAGTCCACTGGACAGCTATTCTGCCCACAGCTGGTCTCTTCAAAGTTGGGCCTTAGCTCAAGTGTCACGAGATCTACGGGATTCTAAGCATCTGGGTTGCTGGCCCTATCTCAGCACAACGCTTGCCATCCGCGCTAGGCTCTGCCTCAAGGCGCTCTGGGCTTGTCAGGCCAAGGAGGCCAAGGGGGCCAGGAGGCCAGGCGGCAACACTGCGGAAGCGCTTTCCTGGCGAGCAAAAATCTGAAACGTCGCTGGCCTAAGGAAAGGAAAACTGCCGGAAGCACGAGTTCCACTGCCACAGGACTTTGAGCAGCCGCCCCATGTGTCTCAGCAAACAGAAGAAAACGGCACATGCTCTGAATCGCCGGGAGGGAACTTGACATGTTACACATGATACTCGTGGTGCCGGCCCCAGTCTGCGTACTGGCAGTCCACGGGGCAGTCCCCACGGCTACAATCGATGATCCTGTCGTGAAAGACTGGAAACCTTCGATTGCTCCCTTCTAGGCCCTTGGCTGGGTGGTGTTCCCTGCACATGGCACTCCGCCAAACTCGGCCACCTAGCCAAAACACAACGGATTTGCGCACATAATGCAATATCGCAAGCCTGGCCTGCCGGAAACCACGCGTCCGAGACTTTGTACCCAAGCCGCACGTCACACTGCAGGAGCTATACTTCCTCTCGGAATCAAATGAAGGCTTGCCCTTCCAAATATTCAATTTCTTCAATTTCTCAACTTGCTGCCAAAACTCGACCAATCATCCCAAGCACAGTCAACCGGGCAGCTGTTCTTCGTGCAGTCCTAAGATCATGTTTGTCATCGCATCCATCTGTGGGCTAAGCCAAGCGCTCTTGTCTCTTTGGTTTTTCCATCACAAGCTTTGCCGTCCCCTTGCGCCATCAGCTTCACTTTGCGAGTCCTAGAACACCCATGTATACACAACGTGCAGCAAGAGCACAATCAAATCACGGCCTGATGGATTCGCCTCCGCCGCAAGTGAACTGGCACACACTCCAATCCACCCAGTCGCCCCATACCTCGATGTGAACAGCCACACACCAATGCCAGCGCTTCGAGATTGTTACAGGACTGGTAAGGCTGGTACGCAGTCGGCATCTTCCTGAGAGGTTCCACACAACGATGAGCTCAGCACAACAGCATGATACCCAAGCAACACCACGCAAAACGAGCGATACCTCATACGCCAAGGCGAAGACTGAGGATTTCGACCGAAAGAGCTCAATAGTTTCCACATTTCCTAGGTGCGAGGTGAAAGGAGAAGTGAGGGGAAGTGAGGGGGAGTGAGTGACTCATGAGATAGTATTGGGATGAAATCTCCACTTCATATTTCAAGTATCCTGATATTCCAATGGCAGCTCCATGGTGGCGGCTAGCCTGAGTCACTCGGCATTGCTTCACAACTGGCCAAACCCCCCGCCTCTTTCGTTTCTGCCCGCATCATGCGACTGGTCCTTGGAAGTGGGAAAGCTCCGTGGGTCTTTCAACTCCGAGGCATCCACCCTGCTGCATCCATTTCGATCTCCTCGCGCACGTCAGATTTGCTTCTGAATCTAACCCTTTCTTAGGTCCTCGAGCTCATGGGCGAAGCTAAAAGTGAGCAAGAGACTCGAGAGTCTGAGGCCTGCATTGAAGTTAAAGTTGGCGTTTCGGCCCAATCAGAAGTTTCTCAAGTACTCCCGCGAAGCATGCTGCTATAAGACAATTTGACGCATCCACGGACGGCAAGCCAAAGCGTGCCTGTGCACATGCTGGAACGCATGCTTGTCCTTCCCATAATATGCCTCAGTATTTCCAAGATGCACAAGTCTGGCGTGCACTTTCACTCGGGAGCCATACAATACTCACATCCAGCGCCACGTGGACACCTGCAAATTGATACCGTGTGCGGTTGCTCAATCCTTTACCTGCAAATTTGCAAATGATCCAATGCAGCCAAGGATCTGAAAGAGCGAGAATGGATGTGTTGCACACAAACAAAGATCTGATTGGACTGGATCCAGCAGGACCAGCACAGGAATGCTGTGCAGCACTCCCACTGATTGGGCCGAAAGGGAACAAGCAGAACAATCCCCCCCACGTCGCGGCTTCATTGCCGCGAAAGAACCGAGACACTTTGAACGTTGAAAAAGATGGCACGGAGCACCGCACAGAACCTTTGCAAGACATCAATCGCAAACGTGTAAAACATGTAAACATGTTTTGTTCCAACAGTAGCTAAGGGATATGATACGTTCCTTGCTTGAATCGTTCCTATACAGTGGCCAGGTCCAACTAGGCTTTAGCGTGAGGCGGCAGCGTTCCAGAAATGCGCCAGGTGACAGCAAAAGACAAACAGTTGGCACACGCCTCTCAACAAAAAACACCATACAATGAACATTTACCCAAAGCCAAAAGCCGAAAGCCCACCAGTCTAAAAGCACGAGAACCCAAGAAGCAAAACCTATGGAAATGTATAGAAAATTTCACGCTAAGAACAAATACAGGTGCGTCAGGAGCTTGGGACGACAAATTCTGCAAGTTACAGCCTTTTGGGCCAAGCGAGGAAATTGCCAAATTCGTTGACACCTGTAGGCATTAGGGTCGTTTTCCTGGAACCATTGCAAAAGGGCTCTTTACAAAAAAGGTCTGGAGTGGATTACACCAGCAAGTAGCAGAAGCAAGTAGCGCTAGCGAGTTGCACTAGCAAGTTGCACTAGCAAGTAGCACTAGCAAGTAGCGCTAGCGAGTGGCACTAGCAAGTTGCACTAGCAAGTAGCACTAGCGAGTTGCGCTAGCAAGTAGCACTAGCGAGTTGCGCTAGCAAGTTGCACTAGCAAGTAGCACTAGCGAGTTGCACTGGCAAGGTAAATTGCCAAGTAGCACTAGCGAGTTGCACTAGCAGGTTGCATTAGCAAGTAATGCTGTTCAAAAATATTCTTCCAAAATCTATGATACAATATTTTACAAAATTTATGACCAAACAATTTTCCGAACGCTTATCAAAAATGAACATAATTCCCAAAACAGCGAAGCATTGGGGGTATGGAGACTGGGAACGCCGATTGCGGGGTCCTGTTTTTTGCTTGTGTTGCTGTCTCCCAGTCTCTCCGGTCAGAAGCCCAGATGCGGTGACGCCGGCTCCGGGGTCGTGTCTCCCGCTTGTCTCCCTGTGTCTCCCAGTCCAGATGCTGTGACGCCGACTCCGGGGTCGTGTCCCGCGCTTGTCTCCCAGTCTCCGTGTCTTTCGCTTGCCTCCCGGTCTTCCAGTCTCTGCGGTCAGATACCAGATGCTGCGACGCTGGCTGCGGGGTCGTGTCTCCTTCACCTTGGGTGAACAATGAAGAATTACATCCCGAGGGCGCACTCTTCAGTACACAGGAAGGGATTGTAAAACGAAATGGGGGCCCCTCCAATTCGGAGTGAGAGCATTCTCCCAGAGAAAACCCCCAAAGACAACAACACGGCCAAAAACCCCAGGGGCTTAGAGAGCGCGCAGCGACCGAAGCGCTCGCTCTATTTTTCTGCTTGGCCTATTCCAGAATACAGAGTGGAGGATACCCAGCCGGGGAGCCTTTACAAATGTTCAAATCGAAAGAGAGAACCGGCTTCCAGCAAGGAAGTCTTACACCGTTGGGCAGCGAGCCCCACATATGAATCCTTCCCTCTTTCTTCAAAAGCATCCCCAGGGAGGGTGGGTGGGCACTAATTTTGCACCACCGAGCCAAGCCTCGGTTGACATGGTTCACACGCGTTTATCCAAGCGCAAACCAACCAAGGCATGACCGTCACATGTAAAAATGTCAACATGCGAAATACAAGCACAAGCATGAAAACTGGCATCATGCCAAAAATCATGACCTGTTATCAACATCATGATAGAACATGAGTCTGCAACACCCAAGAGGGCAAAGATAAGGCTTAGCTTATCGCAACATAAACTCCTTCAAAACTGTCACAAAGCGATTTTGCCAGCGTGCGTGTCACACAAGTAGACCTTCCTCACCGGACGCGCGCGCGCGCGCGGCGCGCGCGCGGCGCGCGCGCGGCGCGCATGTTGTTTCCGAACACGGGCGCTCGCCGCACTCGCGTCACACACGTTGCCCTTCATCACCGCCGCGCGCGCGCTGCGCGTGTGTTGTTTCCGTACACGGCGCGTGCACCTCGACCAACAGTTATGTCGGCTCTGAAGACACACTGTCGCAACAAGTCGCGATTGCGTGTCTCCTTCACCTTGGGTGAACAATGAAGAATTACATCCCGAGGGCGCACTCTTCAGTACACAGGAAGGGATTGTAAAACGAAATGGGGGCCCCTCCAATTCGGAGTGAGAGCATTCTCCCAGAGAAAACCCCCAAAGACAACAACACGGCCAAAAACCTCAGGGGCTTAGAGAGCGCGCAGCGACCGAAGCGCTCGCTCTATTTTTCTGCTTGGCCTATTCCAGAATACAGAGTGGAGGATACCCAGCCGGGGAGCCTTTACAAATGTTCAAATCGAAAGAGAGAACCGGCTTCCAGCAAGGAAGTCTTACACCGTTGGGCAGCGAGCCCCACATATGAATCCTTCCCTCTTTCTTCAAAAGCATCCCCCATGCAACGCCGAGCTGTCCCCAACCTGTCTTCTGGCGGCCTAAGCGTGTTCTCACCAAACTGGCAACCTCTTCTTGCCCCTCTTCCAAATACCTGTGATCTTCCCATGTCTCCCCTTCAAGGATTTGAGGCTCTTCAGGTACTTCTCAGATTGTTCCATCAGCACGTCTAGAACCTTCCACTTGAGTTGCTCCAACCAGCTGCACGCGCTGGTCCTCCTTGAGCCCGGAAAAATCCTCATTCGTGAGTGCGTCCGCATCACCATTCAAGTCCCTGCTGATCCAAGTCAAGCACAACTCACACTTCCGGGAGGCCAGCTCCTTTGAGAGCTCCATCAAAATCAGGGTGCTAGGAAACTTGGTGGACATTCTTTTGACCACAACGTAGGAGTTGCTTAGATTATCAGTGTAGCCACGCACCTGGCAGGAGCCCTGCCAATTTTCCTGCGTCTCCGGGACCCAGAGCTTGACGGCCACTAGCGTCGCCAGGAGTTCCAAAGCCGCGATACACCTTTTGGGATCGCCCTTCAGAAAAGCCCAAGGTGCCCAAGATTCTGATACTTCCAGTGAGAACCATGGCCCCTTTTCTCCCAGCTAAGCTTTGTCTTCCGTCGCCTTCGCATCAGTGTAGAAAGTTATCTGGCGTTCCCGATCTTGATGCCTCGGCAGAGGTTCCTGCAGATTGTGGCCTGTCTTGAGCTTCTCCGCTATCCAGCCAAGAATGCAGCGCAACATGAATGGAATGCGCATCTTCTTATTTTCGTCCCGCGTGGCTGCAACCCATTGATACAGCGGGCCCAAGAATGGCCGTTCCCAGAAAAGCGCAGTCGCCGCAAACCCAAGACGACCCAGCCCCTGTTGCAATATCCTGGGGGCCACCACCCCCTTCTCAGCCAGTTCGTCGGTCCAGGCCGCAAGCCACTTCGCTCTACGCTGTGAGAGTCCAAGCTTGTACTTCCGGTAGTCGGTGAAGAGTCCAATCCACTCCACCTCCAGCCCACCCCTCTGCTTTGACCATTTGAAAGGAAAACCTAAGGTCGAGAGATAAAGAAAAGCCAATACCACTGCACCTCGCCCCAGCTTCCCTGGTCCAAGCCCTTCCAAGTCGTCAGCGAAAAGGAGCAGCTCCGCCGGATTCTCTTTTCCTAGGAGTTGAAACACCAGCCGGATACCTGCCCTGAAATTCGGCTCCACCAGTATGCAGCGGATCCTATCCCGAACGTTCCCACTTTGTTGATGTAGACGTGGTTGTCCGCGCTCGACACCCTGCAGGCTAACATTCCCCGCTCTGACGGGTGGTATCTAAATCGTCTGTGAGCCTTGGAGATGTCACCCACCAGAGAAAATAAACAAGTGGCCGATGACCGGTAGTAGTCAAGCAAGTAAAGCTTCTCTCTGGCTCCCGGTGACCTCAGTTTATCTCTGCATCTAATCCTATGATTCACGCAGACATGGTTCGACCCATCATGGATGATGCGTTTCTTTGCGCCATGTGAATCTTCCACCAAAACTGCCAGGGAGGCCACCGCCACGTTGTTCCCGTATCTCTCGCGCAGCTCTTGCGTCGTCAATTTTTCCATGAGGCCCTCGTCAACCTCCTGATCAAAAGACTCCCTTACAAACTGCTCGTGCTCTGCAACCGAATGGTAATTGTCCGCCCATTGTGTTGCTTGATACCACATTCCCTCGTCCAACTTCCAGCTTGTCTGCTCCTCATACACTGCCGGAGTTCGTGGAAGCGGGCGCAATATACCAGCAGGAAACCCCTCCTCGCCTTGTAGCAGAAAACTCCAGTCCGGGTCCCCCACTTCGCGCAGCAACTCACTCATGAGGGGCAGGAAGAACGGTTGACCGTCTGCACACCTGCCCAAGTCCGACCTCCCTGAACCTCTCCGTTTCAGCCAGTTGACAACGATGTTCCGCAATTCACTCTTCAGCCCCTCGTTCTGCACCAAGCAGCATCCAGCCTCCCCTTTAATTGCCATATGGAAGGCCTCCAACTCCAAGTTCTCTCGGCCCCCCACAGCTCGATAAACACACCCCTCAAGTTCATCACGCAAAGGTGGGATGTCCGCCCAGCGCCTGTCAGCCAAGTCACATCTGCCTGGCGAGCATAGGCCTGCCCCGTCGTGATAAGGTCTGAAATTGCCCGGAGCCCTGCAACGGCGTATGCGCTGTTGATTTGTGTCCGGAACAGCGGCTTGTTGCGGCTGCTTCGACCCTGTTGTTTGCTCCCCGGGCTGCTTCACCTCCTTTTGGTCGACTGGGCTGTGAACAGTCACCTCCCCCTCGTCGAGCTTTTGCGAGCGACTGTTCCATGATGTCATGACTTGTTCCGCAACCCACTTGCACATCTCTGAAGGCCACTGCTCAGACCCTGTTGTTGCAAAACCTCCGTGGCCGCGCTGCTTCATTGCGGGAATATGTCTTCGTGGCAAAGGTCCTAAGTACACTCCCGCTGTGTCAAACTTTGGCATTTCTGTGCACATGAAATCCTGTAAAGGGCCGGCTGTCCTCAAAAGCAACCGCGTGGGTTTCGCAACTTGCGCCTGGAAATCAAACTGGTAAAACGCCACACATTGAACGTTGCCCGACTGCTTAACCGCATTCAAAGCCGGCCACTGCCACATGCTGCAGGGTCTTGTCCCATGGTAAGGTCCCCCATTGACTGCTCCCAAGTCCTCTGGCTGCTCCAGAAGCGCAAAGTTGTCTGCCCTTCTCAAATGCACAGCCACGGCCTCCGAAGTAAAGTCAGCAATCTGGTTTCCGAGTTCCGCTTTCTGTCTCTCGTTGGGCCGAAGCCTTGGCAATCCTTTTGGGCGCGCGAAGGATCGCACTGGCCGAGGTCCATTCCGATTGGCCCATGGGGCCCTGGAAAACGTGCTGCATGGCGGGCTCAGAATGAGCGCGAAAAACTTGCCTTGCCTGAGCTGCTCAAGAATGTTTTCCCGAAAGCTCTTGTTAAGGCATGTTGCACTGCTCCTAGCTTGAACCCAAACATGAAACCTCAAAAGAACAAAGCTCGTCCGAGGCGGCCGCAGTTCTTTTTACCGGGATTGCTGAAAGTTGCACTGCTTCCAGGGCACTAGTGCGCCTGGAGCAGGAGGCACATTGACCCCCCGAAATGTGAAAAGGCAAGACAATGCGTGTCCTTGCGTATGAATGCAGTGCTTGGGGGGCGCGGCATGCGCGCCCACGCCCCAAGGTCCGGAGACCGAAAGTCCGGAGACTCGAGGTCCGGAGACCAAAATTGGTCCGGAGACCTGCCAAAGTGCCGGAGGCCACCCATGAAAGTGCAGAGAAACTGCTACCTATCCTTGCAAAGCCTGGCATAGGGCAGTGCAGGGCGGGTGGGTGGGTTTCAAGAAATGAAACCGCAGGTTTGGGTCAAGGCTAGGAGCAAAACGGCCAACGCATAATTCGATTCACCACATGCCCTAAACACAAGGGAAAAGAAACCCTAAGCGTTAAGGCATGTTGCACTGCTCCTAGCTTGAACCCAAACATGAAACCTCAACAGAACAAAGCTCGTCCGAGGCGGCCGCAGTTCTTTTTACCGGGATTGCTGAAAGTTGCACTGCTTCCAGGGCACTAGTGCGCCTGGAGCAGGAGGCACATTGACCCCCCCTTCAGTGTTTCAGGCAACCCCGGTAAAAGCGAACCCGCTGGGCCGAAGGCCTCATCACCCGCCCTTCAGAGTGGGGTTGTACCTGGCAGGGCAGATGCTAGCCCATGCACGCTGGGCTGTGAGCAGCTTGTTATGCAGTGACTGCACTTTTTTCTGGTCAGAGCGGCTTGAGTAAGCGGCTGGCTGACGTCGCCAGTTGTTCTGGCTGACAGGGCAACGGCGGATTTTTGGTCGCGAGGCCATGTCGGATGCAAGTTAGGCTGGCGCAGCGGTGACGGAGGCTGCTGCCAAATGTTCAGGGCGCCAGGGCGCATGCGTCGGACACAGTTGAATGCCTCGGCCTGACATCGCTAGGCTTGCAGGGCTGAAGCGTATGCGACTTTCAGGGCGATGGCTGAACCGGGCCAACCGACCTCTGCTGAGATCGTCAGCCCAATCATTGCACCTTCCTGGAACGTGCGTCGGCTGCAGCAGCACATTGTGAGCGTGAGCCCAGAAGGCTGTTAATTGCACAAAGAGTTGCAACGGCCAGGAGGTCGTGAACAGTTTGTTAAGGCTTGCTTCCGTGGCGGAATTGTCTGTGCCTGAAGGCATGCTAAACGAGTAGTGCCCACCACCAATGTGGCTGTGGGTTGCTTGCAGCAGTGCTAACTGTGCCAGAGTTTCGAAGCATGCGATGTACCGCTGTCCTGGCTTGACAAGGCAAGGCCACACGGCTCTTATGTCTTGCATGTTCCAGGTCTCGGCGAACCACACCACTTGGGATGATGCGATTGCCCAGCCCCCGATCCCTACCATATCATCTTCGGCACACGCATCTGCGGCTGAATAGGCGAGTGTCGAAAGCACGACGCCAGCCAAGTAAGGCACTGTTGGCTCGACTTGGAAAGGCTAGTGTATGGGTTGTTGGGGTCCGCGACGCGCACCCATGTGGGCTTGCTAGTGCCAGGCACTTGCGGGATGTCTTGGGGGCAATGCATGGTGCGGCCTGAAATTTCCAATTTTGGAGCCCACTGTGATCCACAAGCCCGGTAGGCTATGGCTAGTTTTGAGGCCCTTAGTCAAGGATGCTCTAAAGGCTGACCACATTTGAGGCGGTATCGAGTGCATCGAGCCTGGTGGGCTGTTGAGGTCCGCGTACAGCGGTGCTAGCCAGGACCTGAGGTGTAGGGCAATGCTGGTGGCCCAAATAAGCAGGCCTATGCACTGCTCGAGTGTTTTGCGGGGCATCCCCGTCGATTTCCCAAAAGGGATTTGATCAAGGCGTCCAGCTTGGCTAGTTTAGCGGACACGAGCTGAATGGTGTCGTGAGAGAAGTTGATCTCCCAACCGCACCAAACCAGGCTATCCTGGAATTGCGCCTTTTTCCACGAAATGGGCGCTGCAATGGCACAAAAGAAGAGCACCACCAAGGCAAACGTGTCTGGCGCGCTATCCCGGAAGAGTGCACACAGCAGGTCGTCCACAAAGAGGAAGGCTTTGTGGGGCTTCCAGGCTAGCAACCCATGCACCTGACGAAGCAAGAATGCGCCGGTGCGCTGCCACCAGAAAGCCGAGAAACGGCCCCCAAAATGGCACACCCTGTAGTGGTAGAGCTTTCCTTGAAAGGCGAAGAGTAGAAGGCCATGCTCTTCAGGGCGGACCTGCACCTGTTTGTGTGCGGCTTTAAAGTCAATGCTGGCGCCTATGAAGGCGCCTGGAGTGTCTTCTGGCTGCGTGGACAGCGCCAAATCAGATGCCATTGGCAAGCTAAGGCGCTCTGGCAGATGGCATCTGGTATTGACTTGGCACACGGTGCTGTCCAAGACAAGGCGCGGCTCTTTGCCTTCAGCGAAAACGACATTTAGCTTGCCTACGGCAATGCCCAAGGGCCATTTTTCCCGAGCGTCGGCTATGCTAAGGCTGGTTTCAACAATCCAGTTGTTGGCAATTTCATTGTGCAGCAAGCCTTGCACGGTTTCTGGCTCGTCTTCGGCCATCTTCCAGTTGCCCTCACAAACTTCCAGATCCGGCGGCAGCGCGGAGTCTGGCTTCTTTGCTGGCCATTGAAGGCTTGGTGGCAAGGCTGATACGGCTCCTGTCGGCACTCCGTGTTGCAAAAATGGCAAGAGGGCCATGTCTGGGTCACCCCAAGATTTGGCCAAGGCATGCAGCAGGTGGAGTCGGTATGCCTCGGGGCTCATATCTGGAGGGCAGGGCAGTTTTAAAGCGGTGTATGCTAGAGTTGCCACTTCCAGGCTTTCGAACCGCTTTTGATGTGTGCCAGGATACGTGGCACCAGTTTGCGCTCATGCATCCAGTGCAGCCAGGGCCTGGCGACTGCCTGCAGCGGGTGTTCGGGTTTGGGGAGACACCAATCTGCGGATGAGTGCATTCCTGCTCCGTCGCAGGTGGGGAGCCTGCAAGGCGCCAAAGTGACGGGTCTAGCGGAGTTGGAGTGCAGCGGCAGCGCTTGTCGGAAGGAGCCTGTTTTACTCACCCTTCCTACGCCTATTTGGGCCAATTGCAGGGCCAGGGAAGGGGGGTATTCTGCGGTCAGCGTGCTGAGGTATACCCCTTGTTCCTTCACGCCTGCAATGCTTTGATGCTTGTATGAGTGATTGCAGCGGGCTTGCAGGGCCCGTATTTTTGAACGCCCATGACTTAGAGAAGGCTTTGTTGTGCATGCAGGCGTCTACCCACACCAGTGATCGCGTAGCATTTGGAAGTTAGCCTCTTCCAACCAGGACATGGCTGATGGTGGCTGCTCCCAAATGCCCACGCCCCCTTTGGAGACCACTGCTCTGAACAGGGCTCTACCACGGTCGTGGATGGTTTTGCTATCCAGCAATTTTTTACGCTGTGCAGGCGAAAGGCCGGGGATCCCGTCCATGTGCTGCGGCGTTCTCAAGGCTTTGGGCAAAGTTTGAGTCTGGAGTGTTGCAAGGCGGGGCAAGCATGATCAGGGCCACGATTCCCGACCAGCAGAGTCTGAGGAGTGCCTCGAAGACTCTGTCATCCAGGATGTCGTGCGCAGTGTTACCATCCAGGTCAAACGGCTCGAAGCAGTCAAGGCCAAGGCTATAATGGCGGCCGACGTCACTGGGTGCAGCCTACCTGCAAACACGTCCAAAAAGAGCCGCTTTGAGGCTGGATGCAACTGTGAGTCTGATGAGCTTGCCCGGGCGGGCGTATGTGGCTTTGGCCAAGCGCTGGGTTCGCTACGGTGTGCGGAAGGCAAGGCTGGCGTCAGGGCCGTTTGCCCTGGCCCCTGTGATGGTGAACACGGTTCATGAGGCCCGTCGTGGGGCAAGGCCGGCGGAGGCATGGCTGCCCGATCCTGTGCCGGTCCAAGATCCGGGCTGTTTCACGTGTGTTTATTGTGATCCATGGCAGGATGCTTTTGCTGGCAGCCTACTATGGCACACACGTGGGCGAAAGGGCGCTGGTCATTAGTGCAACTGCCCGTCTGGTAGCGCCGGCAAACCTCTCTACCTTTATATGTAGTGCACCACTCTGCCTTGGGCTTTGGCGAAGGCGAGGCTCCTTTGGATTTCCCCTTGCCTTTCTTGGTGGGGCGTGAAGGCAAGCGGGCTGGCTTAAGGTCGCGCATGGGTCCCCTTTGCCTTGGTGTTGCGGGGCGTGGTGGTGCTGGCACGGATGGTTTGGACATTTTTGGGCGCAATTGTAGAAGGCTGTGCACATCGTTCCTCATGTGCGTCAGTTCGTACAAGGCATCATCTAGGGACCGCTGCTGCCCTAGAAGGTCGGATATGGCTGCCCAGAGCTTGCGATCGGCTGACAGAAGCTCTTGGGTATTCACCGTGCGAAGGCCCAGGCTGGGATCTGGCTGTGTGAGACACAGGTCGGCTATCTTCTTGTCGAAGGCCTTGAGGTTCGACAGGTGCGCTGCTTGGCACAGGGCCAGGGCATTGCGAAACACGGTCTGGATACGGGTGAGCCACCCCGCTGCCAGCGAGTGGTGCTCCACAGACACTTCTGGTGTGTCGTCGCAGAAGGCCTGACTCAGGAGCTGTAATTCCGAGCGAACTGCTCGGGCCGACTTTGCTTCCATGCGTTCCTGGTATTGCCGTGATGAAAGGCGATACGGCCAGGGCACCCACTTCAGGGACTGCCCGGGCTTCAGGCCCTCGTGCACTAGGCTCAGAAGGCGGATGGACGGCGCGCGTCCAGCAGCTCACCTGGGTAGTTGGATTTGAAGGCTTCTATCAGGCTGGACACGCGTTCGGATGTGAGCTTGGGTGGCAAGTGCTCTGCCCAAGATGCGATTTGATTGGGGTGTGCGCATGGCGATCCAGAGCTGGCGGCCGGTTCGGGAGGCTCTGAGCGCAGGCTCAGCCGATGGCACTCGGCTAGGGCTTTCCTAAGGCGCGCTGCTGCCACACTAGATTCTGGATCCTCTATGTTGTTGGCTGTCCAGAAGTCCCTGGCAGAAACTATGAAAGGCTGCAAGTCTGCAATGTTGGGGAAGGCGAAGGCGAAGTCAGAAGGGCAATCGAAACCTCTGGCCAAAACGAGGTCCTGCAGGCCTTCAGGGATTCTGGCTTCTGTCAGGACGTCCTGTAGCCTATCGCGGTCCATGTGCATCAGCAATGAATGCTTTGAGGGCGGTTTGAGCGGAAAAAGGATAGCTGCGAATGTGTACAGTCAGTGCAGATGGCAGGCACTGGACCGGCACTTGAGCACTGCTGAGTCGCCGACCTCTCAGAAGGCGTACCTAAGTATCGAATCGTGTCAAATTTCGGCGGTGCTGTGTGTATCAAGGCAGGGCATGAACGTTGATTTTAGCACAGCACGGCCACGCACGCCTTGCGTTTGCAGAGCTGCATGTCTGGATGAATCTGATGCACAGGGTACGAGCAATGCTTCAGGCGCAAGCCACAAGCCGTCTGTACTGAGTTGCCGTGAGTGCACTGCACGGCACGCACGGATCCCCAGGGCACAAGGCGGATGCCAATTGAGTCGACTGCAAGGGCTGGCTCCTGTGTGCAAGGCGAGAGATCTGGTGAGCATGCCTGCTCCTCTGGTGGCTCTTCTTCGGCTCTTGCCACGGCAAGTGCTTCTTCATCTGCATCCAGGGCTGTGGACAGCAAATTGTCCACCTCCCTGTGATACAGGAATCTTGTCAGGCTGGGAGGGAGGCTCTGAAGCTGCAGATGGCTTGGAGGGCTGCCCTGTGGGACCTGAAAGGCTGGTTCCACAGTTGGGTGCTGCCCCTGCCGAGCCATTGGTCGAGGGGGTCTCCAGCCCCTTCGGATGGCGGCGGTGAGCTCCGACTGCACCCGCAGGGCTTCTATGGCATCGTCCCTGCAGAGGCGACGAGAGGCGATGGTGTCCCTGAAGCCTTCTGCTGTCTTCCGGAAGGCGCAGCTGCACTGAGTAATGCGCATTTAAGGCTAGATGCCTCGCGCTGGGTAACCAGCTGACCGCCTTCCGATTTCCATGGCAACTGTATGGCCCAACGAAGGCAAACCAGTGCCTGCAAATAGGTACAAATGAATCTCCCCATTCGGCGTGGGTGGCGTCTAGGGCTTGACTGAGCAGGGCCAGCCACTTCACTAGCCAGGATGCGCTAATATCTTCACCTCGGAAACCGAAAGGCAAGCATGCAAAGGGCTGTCCCTGGCAGGTAGTCTTGGTGGCCCAACACAGGCCCCGAAGTGCCTGCGCAGACAGCGAGAGAGCAGAGGGCTTGATTCTCTGAATGTCGCCAAATCTTAGGCTGCAATGGGCGCACAAAAGCAGGGCGCCTAGTAACAGGCCCACAGCGGGCGTGCAAGTGGGGGAAACTATGTGTTCCTCCCATGCTGCAAGAATGGCCAGTGGCAAGGGCAAGGCTTCCCGTCGGTCGTGTGGTTTGGGGTTGTAGGCGAAGGATTTGATTAAAGGGCTACCCATCAAGTCTAGCAGGCTTGATATCTGCCCAATGCGTGCAAACCAAGACAGTGCCTTGCTCATCATGATGGCACTGCATTTAAGTGCTGTGCGGTCCTCTGCTTGGGACACATGGCAGCCTGCGATGAAATCTGAAAGGTGGGCCAGGGTAAGGCTCAGCAAATCACCCACGCACTGATGTACAAAGGTGAGAAAAAGGCGGATGGCACGGAGGTACTGCGACAGCGTGCCCCCCGAAAATTTCCGCAGCGATGCTTCAACAAGAATCTGCGGGTGCTGCGAGGCTTCCAGGGCTTGCGCCAGCTTGCTGCTAGCGACGCAGGATTTGAGTATCAAAACCCATTCGGCCGTACACTTGTCCTTCAGTGTGGCTTGCAGCTGAGCAGTAGAAGAGGGCTCAGCCGGGCGGACAGGGCCGTACGGCCTGGGCATTGTAGGCCTGGCGGCGTGAGGGCATCACTGTGATTGGCGGGCTGAGCAGGGATCGAATCTGGTCTGTGCGTTCCTGGCTGAAGTGAGACTGCAAGGCTAGACTGCGCGGCCAAGGCCTGCAGGGCGGCTTGGGCAGGGGGCAGGAAACAGGGTCTACCCAGGACCTTAGTGGGATGCACTCTGGCACCGGGACTCTGGTCTCTGATTTACTACTGAAAGCCTGGGGCAAGGAGGCAGTGCTGTGTGGCTCCGCAGCTGAAAGCGGAGATCACTAACGCGCACTGGGTAAGGTCTGGACCTCAGTTGCCAAGGGCTCGCGGCGCAAGGCAACAACCCCGGAGGGATGCCATTCAAGAGCGGACTCAGGAATGCATGACTGCGGTCATGAATGAAGGCATTACGCCTTGTGGGGGTCCCGGAGGAGCCTCAATTGCCAAGGGCTCGCGGCGCAAGGCAGCAACCCCGGAGGGCTGTGATTCAAGAGCGGACTCAAGAATGCATGACTGAGGTCATGACTGAAGGCGTTGCGCCTTGTGGAGGTCCCGGAGGAGCCTCAATTGCCAAGGGCTCGCAGCGCAAGGCAGCAACCTCGGAGGGCTGCGATTCAAGAGCGGACTCAAGAATGCATGACTGAGGTCATGACTGAAGGCATTGCGCCTGTGTGGAGGTCCCGGAGGAGCCTCAGTTGCCAAGGGCTCGCGGCGCAAGGCAACCACCCCGGAGGGATGCAATTCAAGAGCGGACTCAAGAATGCATGGCTGGGGTCCTGACTGAAGTCAGTGCGCCCGTGTGGAGGTCCCGGAGGAGCCTCAGTTGCCAAGGGCTCGCGGTGCAAGGCAACTGCAATTCCAGAGCGGACTCAAGATTGCATGGCTTGGGTCCTCTGACTGCAGTCAGTGCGTCGTGGGAATGTCCCGCAGGAGCTGCACAATGCCTAAACACTGGAGTCATGGCAGCAGTCATGGCGGCCTGAAATGCAACAACTAAGACCGTAGCGGAGGGACAGGCGTGCACTGCAGCTCATGTTTGCAGAGGCTCATGAATGCTGCAGGCGAGCTAGCCAGTCGAGTGCAAGGAGGCAAAGTGCAATGTAGTGGGCTCAAGATCCAGCCGCGATGTCGCGTCACTTTTTTCATTAGCCTATGGTGAGGAAGGCAAGGCTGTCACAAATGGCAGAGCGTCGCCAGTGCATGTGCATCACCACAGGCTGCGACAGTTGTCACATGGTTGGAATGTAAGGGCTGAGACATCGCGCTGTGCCAAGTGGTGGCACTGCCGATGATGAAACACCTTGCGCTTTGGCAGGATGTACACGGTTTCGGGGCGGCATGACGGCTGAAAATCAAAGGACCCAAGGAGGGCCTTGCGGTACTGGCGTAGAAGGCACCAGATGGCAAGGCAGGTTAAGCCGGACACAAGGGCTGTGTAAATGGCGAGGCACACTCCGAAACACAGCAAGGCGTCCATGGCGGCGTTTCCAGTTTCAAGAAATGAAACCGCAGGTTTGGGTCAAGGCTAGGAGCAAAACGGCCAACGCATAGTTCGATTCACCACATGCCCTAAACACAAGGGAAAAGAAACCCTAAGCGTTGGTGAGATCATGCCGCCTGTTGCGCTTGATGTCGATTGCCTGCACAATTAATTCCACTCCCCGCTTGACTGCCAGTTTACGAAGCCAATATTCCGTCGACCCCTGCCGTGGAAGGCCCGTGGAAGGCCCGCGAAGAGATATAAAACATGCAGTGTTCTCTTGCCCGATTCTTTGAGTCAGCTACCACCTCCCTGGGTGTCCAGCTCCGTCTTCTTGCAGTTCAAAGAATTGTGATTGTGATCGAAGCAGAAACCGCACACATGGCTGAACTTACACTTCTTGGACGTGCAACGCCCCTCGTTGAATCGGAAGCAAATCAACTTTCCCTGAGGGGTCTTACTTGCGCCTTTTGACTTTGTCTTTCCTTTCCCTTTTGGGCTCTGTTTCCCAAGACCCTTGCCCTTATTCTCTGGAGCCGGCCGCTTGGAGTACAGAGCCAACGGGGTCGTGAAGTTCCGCTCCTTCGTAGTCGGGTCCTTCCACGCCTGCTTCAAAGCTTTGCCCCATGAAAGATTGTCCGTGACCATGAGCCTGCACGCATGTTTCCTCACACTCTGCTCATAGGATAAGACCAACGACCATGGGGGCATACTGACCGTATTTCCAGCAGCATCTTTCGCAACCAAACTCCAAACATATTCCCCCAGGATGTAATCCTTGTGTTGGTCAAACAAGGCCTGGGACGTTCTGCGTGACCGTGAGCCTGCGCCTCAGCTGTTCCGGACCCGTGGGTAATGGAACTGTTGTAGACCCTTTCTTCATGGAAAGGTTGCCCTTGGAATCCCAGGTGGGGCAAGATCGTATCTGGGTCCGCTTCCTCCCTTGAGATCACCTGCTGAAGCGTTTCAGCCCGAAACTCACCTGTCTCCAACTCTTGCAGCTTCTTCTCCAAATACTCTTTGGAAGGGGTCGCCTTGTCCTCCATCATATCGTACTTAACACGGTACGCTTGTCTCATCGCCATGTAATCTGTGTTTGCAATTGGCTTTGCCCAGTCACGGGTGTCCATCTCTGCTTCCACCTCTGCTTGCCTCTGCACCTTGACAGACGCCGATTTCCAGGCCACAATGAAAGAAGCTACCTGAGCTCTTGTAGCAAGCGACGCGCTCCCACCCAAGGCCAAGTCATCCTTCAACACTTGAATCAAGTCCTTCTCCAGGCAAGCAAACTTGTCAACCGTGTCCACCCCAGCCTGCACAAGCGCAGTGAGGTGTTGCTGCAATATGCCTTGCTTCTGGAAAAGAAAATTTAAGTCAGCGCTAGCCATGGCAACGCCTTGCAAGTATGGACGAATGCTGAAACATGCGTCCCTGAACAGACCTGACCGCGGAAGCATGCGAACTCCCATACTAATCCGTGCCGGCGCGGCATTGATTGCTTGAGCCATGCATGCACTTCGCCATGCCCAAGCTCATGACACACAGCCACAAATCCGGTGAGCGCGGCTCACTTAAACCTCTTTTGCTCCTGGGAAGCGATCCCATCATGCCGCCTCCTCGGCGCTGGATTCCGAGCTGTCTCCGGAGGAGGAATCACCTTGTGCATCATTCTTCGGCCAGCACAATTTACAAACATGGGTGTATTCACCCTCTGCTGGCCTTTCCGCGCGCTCTTCCGAGCACTTGAAACTACGATCCCTTGCCATCCAGCATCCATCATGACACTTGTGCAACCGGATCACACCAGGCCTGGTCTCCACCAAAATGAACGCACTCGCTTCTTGCCTCGTGCGTTTTCCTGCAGGTTCCGCTCCATCGGGCGCCACATCAACTGGCTGTGTGATATCTGCGCTCGGCTCGATCACAACCAGTTTCCTCCCTAGGGGCGGCCTATTGATGTGGGAGACCAACAGCGTTACCAACCCTTTGGCGGTGTCCTCATCATGCCCGTGCCTCATCCGAAGCCAGCCCATAGCCGTGCCCATGATCTCCCGCTCATCAAGATCGCGGAATCTTGACACACCTGTTGCGGCACAAGCATACATACTCTGCAAACGTGCAAACCACTCCACCATAACTGCGCATGTAGGTGTCAGATCCCTCGGGCTTCCATCTTCCTAGCAGGTCTCTGTCTGATTTCTCAGCACCAAGCACTGCTAAACCTGACGTCAAAGAAGCTCGTTCTGAATGCTCTGTCCAAAAACCCTGAAAGGATACAGGAATGAGTCGCGATCCGGCTCTTCGCGTCTTCAACATACCCAGCACCTGCTCAGAATACCCAGACATGTCTGAATACTTAGCCATGGCCTTCATAAAGTTTCCGGTGCGGTTGTCAATCCGCGGGATTAGGTAGTCCCTCTGAAAGTTTGCGTGCTTCTTGAGTAATCCCCATCCAAATGATAACCACTCAGGATCAACCAAATACGCGCACTCTGAGATCACCACCGGTAGCTCGCTGACCCGTCGTCCTGCTCCAGTGGTTTTCGTCTGTTGCAAGACTGTGGAGAACCTGCCAAGGACCAATCTCACCTGTTCAGGAAGGATATGTTGCATGTCATCGTATCGCAAGGATCCCCAGAACTTGATCAGCTTTGCCCACGCAATTACACGCCAAACTTCTGGGAACGCATCACTCAAGACAAACTGCTCCAACTCTTCTATAATCATGCATGGAAACCTTGGCGCGCGCTTGATAGGCTTCGCACCTTGAGACAGGGCAATGCGCAAACTGTCATGAATCAACTGCACTGCTTTCCTGTTCGAAAACTGCCGATCTTCATGAAAATCCGCCAAGTTCTCAAACCACGCAACTGCTTTCAATACCGAAGTCAGAACAGTTGGTCCACATGGCTGTTCGCGCCGCATGAACATGTAATTGATCAAGTCATTCTGTTCCTTGAGGCGGTACCTGCCATAAGTTGCATGTAGCCAACGCAGCAACCCTTGATCGTGCTGTTGCGAAAATGCCCAACCAAAGCCAGTTGCGCCGCATCTGCATTGTCGGCTTCATGCAGCCCTTCCAGCACCGGTGCCTCAGCCATCCTGAGCTCCATCAGCAGCTCAGTCGCCAGCCCTATACGTTCTTCGCTTTCCTGACGTTGCCTGTCTGCAAAGGATAGTTGCGCCTCTTCCTCATTTGAGGAGCTTGGCCTCGGTTTCTTTCCCCTTGGCGGTCGATGTTCCAAAGATGGTACCAGAAAAACGCCTGAATACACACTTGGAACAAGCACCCACGTCCCACCGGGGCATGCCATCCCTCCAGTCGCTCGTTGATCTTCTCAGATCTAGACGCAGCTTCAACCCAACCGCGAACCGCCTGGATCATACCTGGAGTCCCCGGAACGCCTGACTCCTGCTCTAGCTGCTTGACCAGAGCATCTTCCATCCCGACCAGAGTAGCCAGCTTGCGCCCTGTGAGTCCATGCCGTTCCAGTATGCACCACCAATGTGTCTCCGGGGTCTCTGAATCCATCGCGGTCCCAAGGGACCGTACGCACCGCACTAATTTTGCACCACCGAGCCAAGCCTCGGTTGACATGGTTCGCGTTTATCCAAGCGCAAACCAACCAAGGCATGACCGTCACATGTAAAAATGTCAACATGCGAAATACAAGCACAAGCATGAAAACTGGCATCATGCCAAAAATCATGACCTGTTATCAACATCATGATAGAACATGAGTCTGCAACACCCAAGAGGGCAAAGATAAGGCTTAGCTTATCGCAACATAAACTCCTTCAAAACTGTCACAAAGCGATTTTGCCAGCGTGCGTGTCACACAAGTAGACCTTCCTCACCGGACGCGCGCGCGCGCGCGCGGCGCGCGCGCGGCGCGCATGTTTTTTCCGAACACGGGCGCTCGCCGCACTCGCGTCACACACGTTGCCCTTCATCACCGCCGCGCGCGCGCTGCGCGTGTGTTGTTTCCGTACACGGTGCGTGCACCTCGACCAACAGTTATGTCGGCTCTGAAGACACACTGTCGCAACAAGTCGCGATTGCGTGTTTCCCGCTTGTCTCCCTGTGTCTCCCAAAGGTCTCGCCTGCGGGTTGTGTCTCCCGCTTCTCTCCCTGTGTCTCCCAGTCTCTGCAGTCGGATTCCGGACGCTGGCTCCAGGGCTTGTCTCCCTCTGTCTCCCAGTCTCTGCCAGATGTGACGCCGGCGGCTTGTCTTGTCTCCCTCTTTCTACCAGTCTCTGCGGTCAGATGCCAGATGCTGTGACGGGTCCCAGCCCAGGCAATTTCTTGCGAAACTCGTTAACGTCATGTGTCAGCGCTTTCGCATGACACGGAAACCTAGGCACGCCCCGGGTGGGCCAGAAGAGGGGCAAACCACTAGCACAGTTGAGCCCAAGCACCAAGAGGCAGCTTGAACGAGGTGGCAAAACCACGGCACACTAAAAGCAGTGGACCCCGCCGTGGCGTCCACAAGTCCAAACATGCCCAACGCACAAGAGGCAAGCCAATACTCCCATTCGGAGATAAAAACAGCCACGAAAGGCACTGGGCGCACATGAGTGCGCGGCACGTAACTAAGAACGAAGGCAGATCAAGAGAATGTGTACAAGACACTACCCGCAGGCAGACAGCCGGCAACCACTGGGGCCCGAAAGCCCAGCGTGCACCGGCCCGGCATAGCGTGGGCTCGGCCACGAAAAAGTAGTAGTAGTCGGCGCCTCGCAATAAATTGCTTCATACATACACCCCCCCCTACAACTTTTTCCATCTTCCATCTTCTACCCTTATTCGTTATCATCATTTTCTACATTCCTTTCTGTCCATCTCATCCGTTTTTTCTCATCATTTTCCAAAATTTTCGCCATCCTTTTCTCCTTCCTCCTCGCCTCATTCATTTCACCAACTACCCTTCAAAATATCATTTCCTCAATCTCCTCGCCTTATCCATTTCAACAAAATACATTTTGCAAAATATATTGCAAAAAATATTGGTCATCACTAGAAAATCGAACTGTCTAAAAACGATTTGTCCATTTCTCGGACAAAGAATAGAACAGCAACCACATCACTCTCCTCCTTCGTTTCATCACGTTTATCATCACTCCTAATCAGTAAATGATACAATATTTTTCAAATTTTTGTATCAATCACTCTAAGTTTCCCTACGCTTCTCCATTATGTGTTTCTCCCATTGGTACGGTAGAAAACTAGCTCTACATGTCAAGCACCTAAAATGCTTTTTGCCATCTTGATTTTGATTTCATCAGGTTCTGGCAGTTTCTCCTCAGGGCTCTCGCTTCTTCTCAGGTTTCCTTGACGCCATGCTGTTTTCTCGTGTCTTGCTTTGCTTTGTAGTTGCACTTCAACATCACATGATGGACAGTAATGCGTTCTTGTTTTGTATTCCTTCATGTATTCTCTTTGCCTTTCTTTGTATTTTTCAGGATTGTTCTTTCTATCTTCCCTTCTGTGTTCTCTGTATTTTTCAGGGTTGTTGCGGTAGTGTCTTTTACTTTTTGCTCCACATATATTGCAAGTCTTGAACCCTTCTTCAAACTTGTCGGCTTTTTGATTGAACATGCATTTGCTACAATACTTTCTTTCAATTTCCATCCTTATTATCTATAGGTGTTCTCTCTGTAAGTGTACATCCAAGCCTCTAAGTTATGGACAAAATGTAGGCGTGGTGCTCCTTGTAGGATTTTATCTTCAATATATAAAACGCTATACTTACATTGTAATTATAACATATAAGGGTATAAATGTTATTATTATAGTATGGTTATAATTTAAGTTCAGGACCCTCAACACCTACATTTGTTGCACTCAACATCTACATATGTTGTGTTCAACATGTACATGTCCTCAAGAAAACATGGGTTGTTCCATTGCTCAAACGTACACATGTTCAACCCAACATATACATATGTTCAACCCAACATATACATATGTTCAACCCAACATATACATATGTTCAAGCCAACATATACATATGTGGAACTCCACATCCGCATCATTGACTACATTCACCTTTTGAACGTGGAACCCCACATATGCATATGCGCAACCGCACATCCACATGTGTAGAACCCCACATCAGAATATGTAGAGCCCAGCATGTCTGTGTGTAGAAGCCTACATGTTAGCATGCGGAGTTCCAATGTGAAAGCTTGGAGTATGTCGCGAAAGCCATGACTTCAAGCTTTGATGGCTACGCTGTAAGGCTGGGCTGGGCATGAGTTGCACGGGGGCATGTGTGTGTGTTCCCATTTCAAGGCTCACCTTCCTGAGTTG